CAGAACACTCTTAATTGCCTAAAAGTGAATCCATCCATAAATTTTTTTTAACCCAATGGTGCCGGGGAAAATGAACAAAAAATGGGGAAATTATTGTGCCCACTTTCTATGTTTTTCGTGAAATGTCTGCCGATAGATGGCTCTGCTAGCGCCTGATTTAAATGGCGGGAAAAACGTACTTTTCACTAGTGCTATGAAAATCGATGGTGTTATTTTTATGATAAACATTATAGTTTTTATAATTTTTTTTAACATTAGTAACAGCAAAATAAGATTACGTAAAATATTTTGTAAATCAAAGAAACGGTTAACAGGCGAGACGGGCGGTGCTCGTAACTGGCTCATTGGGGAGTTAGTACAAGTGTTGCCATCTATGGGGAAAAACAATCAAACAAGTACTCACTGTGGGCATAGCACGTACGTACACGTCATACCCGGCACCAAGGGGTTAAGTAATTTTTTTCCTTAGCCACATGCCACCGGGAATTGCTCATTAATTTTTTTTATTTCTGTAAATGTCTCTGCACACAGATGGCTCTGCTAGTACTTAGCCACAAAGGAGTCAATTAATGGACCTTGTGACCTTACCTGAGTTCACCTCTCCTTGGCAGAAAAAACTTATTTTTTTTATTAATGCTATGAATATCAAAGGTGTTATTTCTATTATAGACATTATAAGTACTATAATCTTATAAACATTAGTAACAGCAAAATAATGCCCATCAGCAATGGCTTAAAGGAAGGCAAAGGATTAGTTACAGTGTAATGATAAATACAAATATATTTTTTCTTCCTTCCTTGTTTTCTATTTTCTGAACAAATTTTTACCACATGAATTATAAGAAAAAAAAAAAAGAATCTGATTTCAAATTATTTAAATATGAGCAAGAGAGAAATAATATTCACTGGTGATTTTTAAACAAATATACATAAAATTCATTACTATAGAAAAATTTTTGCATGTCTCATCAAATATATCATACTTCCAATTATCTGCATGGTAGGCCCTACTGTTACAGAACTGCATAATTTAATAGTAATCACCTCATTCCAATTACTTAATAATAATAATTATAACTGATTTAATAAAGCTAATTGATTTAAGATCTTATTAAAACTAGATCTTATTAAAACTAATGTTCACTACTACTTGGTGCCTTGAAGGAGCTGTGTTCCTTATGAATGTAGGAAGAGGCGCTGCGAATTGCCATCAGATACATAATGTTAATGTTAATGATAATTATCTATTGGTGAGGGCTTTCACTGCCTTAAAACATATATAATATGGTGTTGTACTGTGCTGCCTGCTAAGAATTAACCTTACATCCACATAGCACTAGAGTATTTCTAAATATTAACATCGTAATTGTGACTACTTCACAAGATATTTTTGATAAGAATATTTTTAATAGTGGGATCCAAAAACTGTCAATTTTTTTATTTTATTTTATTTACAATCAATGAATTATACTTATACCACATTATAAAATCTATTTCTACCTCAGCTGAGAAAACAGACATTAATCAAATTTTAAAGTTGATACCCAAAAATATTGAAAGGTATTAGCATATCACTTGCTGAAGACATTTATATAGACTACTTTCAATTGCAAAACGTTTAAAACTTTACACACTTACTCCTTTCTTGACTAAGTAGTATGCAATGTCAGTTGCAAGCATCTCTTCAGTCAATCCCTTTTGGCAAGCTGCTGCATCCACCTGCAGAGAAGTATTTTTGCTCAAGTATGACTGAGATGTATTTGAAGACATTACTCTTATTAAATTGTAATCATCATATTTATCATCAAGGATCATTATCTTTCTTCTCTCTCTTTCTCTCTCTCTCTCTCTCTCTCTCTCTCTCTCTCTCTCTCTCTCTCTCTCTCTCTCTCTCTCTCTCTCTCTCTCTCTCTCTCTCTCTCTCTCTCTCTCATTCTCTCTCTCTCTCTATCATTCTCTCTCTCTCTCTATCATTCTCTCTCTATCATTCTCTCTCTATCATTCTCTCTCTCTCTATCATTCTCTCTCTCTCTCTATCATTCTCTCTCTCTCTCTCTTTCTCTCTATCATTCTCTCTCTCTATCATTCTCTCTCTCTCTATCATTCTCTCTCTCTCTCTCTATCATTCTCTCTCTCTCTCTCTATCATTCTCTCTCTCTCTCTATCATTCTCTCTCTCTCTCTATCATTCTCTCTCTCTCTCTATCATTCGCACTCTCTCTCTATATCATTCTCTCTCTCTCTCTCTCTATCGTTCTCTCTCTCTCTCTATCATTCTCTCTCTCTCTATCATTCTCTCTCTCTCTATCAGTCTCTCTCTCTCTCTATCAGTCTCTCTCTCTCTATTTCATTCTCTCTCTCTATTTCATTCTCTCTCTCTATTTCATTCTCTCCTCTCTATTTACATTCTCTCTCCTCTCTCTCTCTCTCTCTCTCTCTCTCTCTCTCTCTCTCTCTTCTCTCTCTCTCCTCTCTCTCTCTCCTCTTCTCTCCCTTTTTCTCTCTCTTCTCTCCTCTTTCTCCCTCTATCTCTCTCTTTCTCTCTCTTTCTCCCTCTTTCTCTCTCCTTTTCCCTCTTTCTCTCTCTTACTCCCTCTTTCTCTCTCTTTCTCCCTCTTTCTCTCTCTCTCTCTTTCTCCCTCTTTCTCTTTCTCTCTCTTTCTCTTTCTCTCTCTCTCTCTCTCTTTTCTCTCTGCTCTCTCTCTTTCTCTCTCTCTCTCTCTATCATTGTCTCTCTCTCTATCATTGTCTCTCTCTCTCTATCATTCCTCTCTCTCTCTCTCTCTCTCTCTCTCTCTATCATTCTCTCTCTCTCTCTCTCTCTCTTTCTCTCTCTCTCTATCATTCTCTCTTTCTCTCTCTTTCTATCATTCTCCCTTTCTCTCCTTGCTATCATTCTCTCTCTCTCTCTCTCTCTCTCTCTCTCTCTCTCTCTCTCTCTCTCTCTCTCTCTCTCTCTCTCTCTCTCTCTCTCTCTCTCTCTCTCTCTCTCTTATAGCAAAGATGTATTCATCAGCATCCTCAGTAACATCATAAACTGTTCACGAATAGCAGGACAAAATACTCTTTTAATTTCCCTAAAATTTTTAGACAAGAACTCACCTCCATTGTCTCCACCGCACCAGCAGCTACCTGAAGAAGTCCTTTCATGATCGAGGCCGTTTCAAACATCTTCAGCTTGTCTTCCTGCAGATCTTTGTTGTACGTTGAAGGGAGACCTTTCAGCACAGTCAAGAAACCGCACAGCTGATGAATGCCCAGATAAAAATATAGAGATGTTAAATACTGGGTAACAGAGGCTGAAACCATAAAGATCATTTAGAAATGAACGGATAAAAATAAATAAACTGAAGGGATATAAGGTATGTAGGAAATGAAAGACAGATGCTAGCCTGAAAGCATTCATACAACTATAAAAATAATTTTGATGCGGCATTACATTTGTAAGCCTTAAAACATTCTATAAAAAGTCCAAAAGAATCTTTAACATCATACTAATGAATAAAAAAATGTAAAGGAAAGACAACAACAGGACACCAATAAATAAAGAAAAAGAATTTCAAAGACAGCAAATAAACCGAACACCCAAAGAACCGTCATAAGCCTCAGAGAAGCTCACATTTCCTGCCAAGGTCCCTGCTTTCCCTCGAATGAGCTCCATGCTGTCGGGGTTTTTCTTCTGCGGCATGAGGGAGCTCCCCGTGGCATAGGCGTCAGAGAGCCTAATGTATCCAAACTCACGGGTAGAATACAGGATGACGTCCTCTGCCAGGCGGCTCAGGTGTGAACCCACCAAGCTGGACCAGAACAAAAACTCCACTGGAAACAGATGTGCACAGTGGAACTACAGGTCAGGATGCAGTGATATTGTGCAGCAGGTTGGCTCAATTCCATGCAATGCTTTTGTGCTATGTTTTCACCTGAACCCTAAGGCTTTGGTTTAACTAAAGAATAAATATCAGCATGCAGGTTTGCATAAGTAAGGAATTCATTCTTCAAAAAGGAAATAGTACAAAAAAAAAAAAAAAAATCAAATCATGTTATGCACATACAATACAAAATTCTGTTAAAAATAAATACTTATGAAGATCAAATAAACTGCAATTTATTCACACCATGCTAGAAGTTACAAACCAATAGTTATGAATCATCAGAATAAACATGCGGATAGATATATCAAGTGCTTTAGAGACAACAAACTTGTAACACAATTTACATCATGCTCATTACACTTCATTTTCCGTACAAACTCACCTACGTAATCTCGATCACTGACAGCCTGAAGACTATTTTCCGTGATACTCTTGAAGCCAAGGTCTTGCGCCAACTGCTCACGGTCAATACAAAATGGATTGCCCGCAAGAGCTCCTGACCCCAGAGGACAGATATTGACACGAGAATATAGCTCTCTCAGGCGCTCCAGGTCAGTCGCTAAGGGCCAAGCATGACTAAAAAAATAATAATAATAAAAAAATGTAAGAGAAAAAAATAATAATAATAACAATAATGATAATAATAATAAAGATGAATAGATAAATAAATTTGATTAAAGCCAATTTGTTTGACAAAAAAGTAACCTTTAGACAGATCTTTCAAGAACAAAGAACACAATAAATTTCAAGATGTATAGTTCCAACATATTTAACCTATGGCATATATACTAAATATCATGAATGTCTACATGAAAAATAGGAAAAATAACTCATGTTGTACAGAATACCTGAAAGGTAACCAGAACTTCTCCTTCTCTTTAAAACAATATGTAAATGTAATTCAAACTTCCCAAACTGGATTTCACATCAAAATAATGAAGATAACAACCATCACTGTCTTTACTAAATTTCCATTCCAAACTAACACTTAAAGTCATACTGTGATGAGAGTCCACACACACCTCAGTAGCAAATGAGACCATCGAATAGGCTGTGCTCGTTGCAAGTGCGTATATCCTGGCATGAGGACTGACTTCTCTCTGTCTGCTCGTCCCACTAAGACCTTTCA